CATCATCCTGGGCTGGGCCTAGGCCCTCCCCCATGTGTCCAGGCCGAAACGTGGGATGGGCTCTCAAAGTCCCTTCTTACACCAGGGCAGAGATCCGCCTGCCTCTGCCTCCTGAGTGCTGGGATTAAAGGTGTGCACCACCACCGCCCAGCTTCAAAGTCCCTTCTTTCACCAGGGAAAAATACTAATCCACTACCAGGGGCCCCCTAGAGTGCAGAAGCCTCCTAATTGACATCCATGTTCAGGGGTCTGGATCAGTCCTGTGCTGGCCTCCCAGACAGCAGTCTGGGGTCCATGTGCTCCCCCTTGTTCAGGTCAGCTGTTTCTGTGGGTTTCACCAGCCTGGTACCGACCCCTTTGATCTTCACTCCTCCCTCTCTGCAACTAGGTTCCAGAGTTCAGTTCACTGTATATCTGTGGGTGTCTGCCTCTGCTTCCATCAGCCACTGGATGAGGGCTCTAGGATGGCATATAAAGTAGTCATCAGTCTCATCATAGGGGAAGGGCATTTAGGCTATCCTCTCCACCATTGCCTAGATTGTCAGTTCATATCACTTTAAAAAACTTTTAAAAAGCACTAGAACTTTAGGGATGAGATATATTTTTAAAAAACACTTTGGGCCAAAGATATATAAATAGAAACCATGGGAATAGCAGAAGTGACCTTTTCTATACCCTGAGTGGAGGGTGTGCAGTTTGCTTAAGAGAAAATGCTGACAAATGTGATATAACATCTAAGATTTATATGCAGAAAAACAGATAAAGCTGAATAAACTATGAAGAATCTTAACCACTCCAAATAAGTATAGTTTTTGCTTTATTTGACAAAATCTTTTTTTTAATTTTTGAAATTTTTATTTTATGCATATGTTGGTACGTGTGTGTGCACGAGCACGCGCTCACTTGCACACCACTGTGCTGCCAGTGGAGGTCAGAAGAGGTCACTGGATCCAGAGATCCCCTGGAACTGGAAGTAACAGTTAGTTATGAGCTGCTATATGGGTGCTGGGAGTTGAACCCAGGTCCCCTGGAAGAATAGCCAGTGCTCTCTCCGGCCCTCAAAAAAGAAAATGCTCTTATTAAGCAAGGTGGAAAAGAACACTCTAGAGAAAGCCAGAGGATGCTGTCTAAGTCAGGGTTTCACCATGACCACAGCAACCCCTTCTAAATAAAAACATGTAATTGAGGTAGCAGCTTAGGGTTCAGAGGTTTAGTCCATTATCATCATGGTGGGGAGCATGGCAGCTGGGAGTGTGGCAGTATGCGGCCAGCCGTGGTGCTGGAGAACTCTACACCTTGACCAAAAGGCAACAAGAAGGGAACCGTCTCACTGTGGGGTCTCACTGAGAATATATGAGACCTTAGAGTGTGTCACCCCCATAGTGGCACTCAGTATGTTACAGGGGTGAAACGAGGTTGAGAGCTCTGTCATACATACTTCAGCCAGGTGTGGTGGGGCATAACTGTAGTCACAGCGTTCGAGAGGCAGAAGTAGGGGGATCATGACTCCAAGGCTAGCCTAGTCTACATAGGAGAGCCTGCCCCAAAAAGCCAAGGGCTGGGGACACAGCCTAGCCTGCACCAAGCCCTGGGTGGCCTCCCACAGCATTACCAAAAAGAACGGGGACGGGGGTGGGGGTGGCATCTTTTAAACCAACTAGTCACTCAGTTCATCCTAGAGACACAATGCCATCCAGACGCATGAGGGTCACTATGGCAACAATTAGCCTCCAGTAAGATGCTGGCCTGCCTAACAGGACGGAGCATCTGCTCAGCTGACAGACACAGTGGGAAAGGAGATGGGTAAACCCTAGGTGACTCCCACTGAAAAACATACCGTGTCCAAACACAGCTGTGCCCCGCATCCCTGCCGTGTGCAAAGGGTGGCCTCCAGAGGAGCCCAAGGGAGGAGGGGGCATGCATTCCCAGAGCTGTCCTTCCCCATCTCCATCCTTCCAGCACCTCACTCAAACATTCATTCTAGCAGCAGCTGTGTTTACAGCATGGGCTGTGTTTCTTACCTCTTCCTGCTGCCCTTTCTGGGCTCCGGTCAGGCCCCATGTGTAAGGATGTCTCTGGTGCTCACAGCCCAGTTCTTGCTCCAGTTTCACAAAGACCACTCTCCTCATTTGGAAGAGATGAGAAGTTCCTTGGGGCCTGGTTGATACCCCACACACATTTATGCCCTGAGAGATTCATTACAGGTGTGTGCAGAGAAGCAGAGCCTCTCAGCTATACCCCAGGAGGGAAACCAGAGCCTCCCATCTTTAAGGTGCTGTTCTGAGAAGCAGGATCCCATCCGTGGCTTGAGCTTGAGTCAACAGAGGCCAGAAAGCATGAGGGCTGTGCTGTCATGACCTCCCAATGGGTCACGCCAAGCCGTGGGCACCACAGGCCTGCTACCAACGAGAGACATGACTACCTTTTTATTAAAAACACTCCATAGCATAGTGACCTGATTCTGTGAGGTTACAATGGGGTTGTCTGATGATTCCAGTATTTTCTCTCTATCCCACATACCATTGACAACTGGCTTCTTACCAAGAAAACCAAAATGGCCTAGCTCTCGTCTGCACCACACACCTACCCTTCCATGCATAGAAACAGCACTTTTGTTTGGAAGGTACATGTCTCAGACCTTCTGTTGTGCTCAAGAGTTACATGCAGTATTCCAGGAGCTTCCTGGGTTAAAAACACCGAACTGGAAAAATGCACGTATCTGGCTTTACCATGGCTTTCAATCGAGGCAAACTGTACAATCAAAGGTAGAACCTTTATCAGCTCTATAAAGGTTGCCGTTTACAGCAAAAGGCAATCAGAAGAGGTAGAGGTCTCAGAGAGGGGCCCATGGCTCCTCTGAGTGGGTGACACTGGGTAGCAATGACTTAGAGTGTGATGGGCAGCCTGTCCACCTGAGTACTTTGCAGTCTTCTGGGATAGCTGGAGTCTGTCTAAAGTACATCTTCACTGTCCCACTACTCATCATCTTTCTGAGAAGCCCTCAGAGAAGGTAACTGGAGATTGTGAGTCCCAGCCAAGACTGGACATCACCCACCACTGACTTCAGGGATGGGTCTGATGCATCCATTAAGCAAACACCCAGATGTCAGCTCTCTCCAAACGCCCCCATATTTCAGTTAGCAGCACAGTAATGGCTTAGTCTCTGGGAAGATAGGTCAAGTTTTCCCATTTGCCTATCAGATTCATTTAAAGTGTTGGAAAAGCTAAACAGGAAGCCCCATCACAAACCTGTTCAGAGGAGTCCTGCCCCCAGAAACATTACCTTCAGATCTTTAGCTACAAACCCAGAA